AGGAATCTGCATTTCACCAGCCCCCTGGTGATTTGGTAATATAGGTCATGTTTGGGCCTTAGTGAACTACAGAACTACACAACCTGCGTTCTCTACTGTCCACACAGATGGCCTGGGAGGTTGACTTTGAGCCCTAGGTGACCCATCCTCACAGCAGGAAGCTTGTCTCTTCTGCTTTGCCCATCCCTAAGGAACTGCAGGCAGTTAGGTGCAGAACTCTAGGCAGTGTTATTAGCACACTACACCCCGACACTAAGGATCTGTCTATCTGTCCAGAATTTTTATTCTTTCTGTAGAAAAAAAAACTAATAAAAACAGGAATGTAATATATGTCTACTAGCTAGGAATAGTTCCTGCTTGTCTTCTCATTACTGTGTGCCACAGCGTCGAAGAGGCCAGATTCATCTCACCCTAAAACAATGTATATTTATATGCGAAACCAAGGTAAAGATCCCCCTTAAAATGCCTACCCATCCTGCCTGAGTGTCCCACCTAAAGCTTCAACAGGAAGCCATGCTTTGTTTCAATGTCCTCAATACCAACAAACCCGAACCCAGCCTCTTGCTAACAAGATGGCATAACTCCAAGGCTGGAGGAGAAAAGAGCCCTCCCCCGTGGTGCTTCACAAAAATACAACTAGTAAAGGTGCTCCAAGGCAGTACAGACACTGAGCATAAACAACGAGTTAGAATCCCGTTCTGTGCTGGCAGTGACCTGGAGCCCTGCCTCGATTCCCTTACATTTAATATAAAAATAACAACAGTACTTAACATAGTGCCCTTGTGAGGATAAATTAACTGATGTGTGTAATCCACTTAGCAACATGCCAGACACAGTAAGAAGCTATGTAAGCATCCGCTATTATTGTTGGAGTTGTTAGTTATTTTAAACCTCCAGGATGCCATAAGTTATCCCTCACCACTCCCCAGCAGCCGAGACTATACAAAGCACCTGCTAAGGGCCAAATCAAGCCAATTTTTGCCACTTATTGAGAAATGTGCAAAGCTTTGGAGGTAATCTGTCCCAGACCACAGGCTAGTACCCTACCTCCGTGTAGCTGGTGAACTCAAACCCAGGTCTGTGTGGCTTCAGAACTCAGCCTCACCATGGAACCTTCAGATTCAAAACAAGCAGCAGCGGCTGCCATCACAAGATCACCACCACACCAAGGTCTCACTCAGTTCTCTGCCCCTGAATCCCTGCTTGGCTTGCATAAATTGGAGCAAATACCGGGCCACTTGAACCCAATTAGGCAGTAAGTCAGCCTAAAAAAAAAAAAAAAAAAAAAAAAAACATGCAACACATTCCAGAGGTCAAAGTAGACGCTGGCTGGGATAGCAGCCTTTGCCGGACACTTCCATGGAAGTTAGTCTCTGCACGCAGACAGCAGCTTACAGCCAGGGAGGTGCCTACCACATGCTTAAGTCCCACATCCGGACCAGCATTGGGAACAAATTGCCTGAGTCTTAAGTCAACACAAAAAGATTACTTTTTTTTTTTTTTAAGGAAAGTCCTATTCTCTTTCGGTTTAGGGTGGCGGTTTACTTTGTAGTTAACCACCTACCCCGCCAAAAAAGGAAAAAAGGGGGGGCAAAGGATAAATAACGAGAGAGCTCCCCCAACTTGCAAGGTACTGGACACCCACCTGAAACTCGACCAACCTTCCTAGGAAGCCTAGCCCCGGAGGGCGTTTCCCCAACGTTTCCCAACAACTCGTCCCTCCCGGGTAGGAGGCCGACGCCCTCGACTTCAGTTAGGGCCACCAGACTGGCGAGCTTGAGCCCCTCCCGCCCTCCAGTTTCACCCCCCCCCAAACGCCACCCTATCATTTCCGCAGAAGGCGCAACCACAGCGATCGTTTCGCCTTCAAGGCCACCTTTCACTACGTGCAGAGCGCAGCGGGAGCCACGGCGGAAAACCGAGCGGGCGGGGTGGAGGTGGGGGAGGCAGGGAGCCCAGGCGCGGGGTGGGGTACTAGCTAAGGAGACCGGCACCTTCTCAGGGCTGCCATACACCCTCGGGATCCTCGGACCCCGGGCGCGGGTGGGCCCCCCATAAGGCCGAACGTGAAAGTGGGGTGGGGGTATCCCTGGGGACAGTTTCCCCAGAAGCCACCTCGCTGGAGGGCGGCCGTCGGGGCGATGGCGCAAGCCTTTCCCCCCCCCCACCCCCAAGCGCGACAACAGCCACGGTGACAAAATGGCAGCTCGGCGCCCGGCAGGCGAGCCACCGGCACAGAGTCGGGGCCGGCAGTCTCTGTACCCGGAGAATGCCAGGCACCCTGGGGCTGGGTCTCCCGCCGGCCTAGTAGAGCAAATGACGAGGACAGACAGGGAATTGCAGGTCCGAGCGGGTCGAGGGTCCCTGGCCGGCCGCGCTCTCTCCAGACCCGATCCCCAGGACGGCGCCGCCGGGCTTCTGCTGCGCCTGTGCGCGCCCGGATCCCCTCCGCTGGGGCACCCGGGTCCCCGCCGAGTCGGGTCCGCGGCCGCCGTGGGGGAGGGGCGGGCCGCTGGCGCCCCGGGAAACATGGCTGCTCGTCCTAGTTCAGCGGCGTCGCGGCCACCAGTCCCCGAGATGCGACTTGGGAGAGAGGTTGCAGAAGGTGGGTGCGTGGGGGAGACTCTGGGGAGGGAGGTTCCCCGGAACGATCTGCTTTCCAAAAACGTTTATTTGAAAAAACAAAAAACCAGAAAAACAACAACAAAAAAAGCCAGTTCCTCCTCCCCCACCCCTTTTGTCCCTCTTTCGAGAGCTTTCTGCCCTCCCCTCCCCCATGCGCAGCAAGTGCCCCCTCCCCCGCCACCCGCGCGCCCCACCCCGCCAGGAGCCCCGGGGCCGGCGAGTGGGCTGCGGAGTCGCGGCGAGGGGGCGAAGCGTGAGAAATCGCGCCCAGCCCAGAGCGCCCGCCCCTCCCCCAGCGCACACACTCGGGGAAGTTTAAAGAGCCGGTTCGACCCGCTTTCCGATTCGCTCCGGGCTGGCTAGTACGGAGGATCTCTCGGTCCGGCCCGTCGCTTATGCGCACTTACTCGCCGAAACCCCGAAGCCCCCCAACTACCTACAGGGGTCTTCCGGAAAGTACGCGGGAAGCCCGCGTTCAGCCCCCTCCCCCAGCACCACACCCAGCCCCCTCCACCTCCGGGATCGGGCACCGCGGCTCGGTCGGGACGCCACCGGCGGTGCCGGGCAGCCCCGCCGCAAGTCCTGCTGCTGGCGGCGCCCCCTCCTCCCCGCCCTGCGCGCCATAAGGCTGTAGCACGTCTCCAGTGCACAGCTGCGTGAGGATGGGCGGACGGCAGAATGGAGCTTGTTTTCAAAAGTCTTACTCAGGTTTGGAGGGAGGAACTAGGGGAAAAGAGGAAACGAGGCCTGCCTTTGTCAGGATTCGAGGGGCCAAGTGGCTGGAGGGGCGACAGGGTCAGTGCAACGTGCTGCGCGAGTCCCCAACTCACCCGAGCCCCGAACCCCCAGGCTGGACCTGGGATCTTGCCACCCGCGAGCCCCTTCTCACGACCGGACCTTGAAGGGAAGCCGGCCAGGGTTTCCACCCCAGAACCTAGGGTCTCTCGGATGGACCAACTCGCAGACAACACGAGTGTGTGAAAGCGAGAGGGAGACAAAAATAAACAGCGTTCGAGTCACCCATCCACCCTCACTTCCCATTGCAGTGGGCTCGCGCCCAGCCTGCCTATTCCCACCGGTGTAAGTTTCCTCCTGCCATACTCCCGCCGCTGCCCAATCCATAACGGCTACGGCCAGACGAACTGCCCATCCCAGAGCTGCGTGCCAGCCGTGCCCGCAAGAATGTAGACCGGGCCGGTCCCCACAGCAGCACCAGCTCTGGGCACCTCGGGTCCTGATAAAGTTTCCCGTGCCCATTTATTAACCAGGCGCCGAATGGCTGCCAGGGAGCCCACCCCGGGAGAAGCAGGGACCCGGAGGTGGGGTAACTGGTGCCGATGGGGTATCAGGGTGCCAAGGCTTGCATCTGAGGAGGTAGCCGGGGGACTGAGGCTCACCGGGACGCAGCCTTTGGGCAACTTACACTAGCGATCGCTAGTGGTTGGGGAGGCGTGAGGATTATCTGAGCATTTGCACACTCCACAATCCCTCCCCCCTCCTTGTAAGGTATCCCCCCCCCCCCCCCCCTTTCCGCGAGGAAGGGAGAAAAGACAGCATCTGGCCCAAAGGTGGGGTGGAAAGAGTGAGAGAGAAAGGAGAAGAAGGAAGGCAGGCAGAGAAAGGGAGGGAGAGAAAGGGCGCGTTCACGAACACGACAAAGTTACAAATATGGCTCCCCACCTCTCGCCTCATCCCCGCAGAGAAACGAAGACGCGCTTTAAACTCGAGCCATCTCCCAACTCCGCAGCAGCCAGGTCCCCACGCGCTCTCCCCGGGGGCCTTGGGCCACATTGATCAGAAACTAAACCGGACTCGCGATTCCCAAAACTTATTGTGTGCGAGAGAACGAGCGAACGAGCGAAAGAGACGGCAAAGGGAGGGGGCAGGCGCGGGAGGGGGCGGAAAGGGGGGTACGTTTCTAAAATATAACACCCCCTTTTTGTTGTTTAAGGAGGCAGACCATCTTCTCCTCCCCTCGACCATCTTTTCCATCCAGACGCGAGTCGTGGGAGCTGAGAGCTCGGACGAGGGTGAGATCGCAGCGTTCCCTCCGACCCGAACGCGTGCGCCCCGCCGGCCCCCCGCTGGGTGCACACTCGTACGCACACCCTCGCACCCATACCCGCACACGCGGGAGCACACACACAGGTAGTCAGCCACACACCAAGGGCAGCGGCAGCGGTGGCCAGAACATGCTCCGATGGCATTGCAACCCCCCCATCCAACCTTGCAATTCATTTGCGGTCCAACTCTAAACCCTACACCTCCCCGGAACCCCCTCCATTAAAAAAGTGTCTTTCCCCCCCAAACACACACGCACACATAACACAAAGTAGGAGAATGGACCGATAGAGATATTTTTGGCAAATGCTCACATCAGAGGGCGTCCTGTTCCGCAGCTCTAAATGAATCCGTTTGTCCATATCCATCTCTTGCGCTCTCTCTCTCTCTGCAGAGGATCCTGCGCCAGCGGAATTCAATCAATAAACCCCGAACCCACGGCCGCGCGTTTTAGGACTTTGAAGGCTCAACCAGCTCCGCTCGGTTCTCGAGCCCCCAGCACCCGCGGCGCACACTAACCTGATCACCGTGGAGGCGGGACCTGAGGCTCCGGCGTGGAGCGGCGGCAGCACGAACCAATCGAGTGGCGAGGCTCCTGATACCAGCCAATGGTGGTGGCGGCGGCGGGGGGGCAGGGTCCAATGGGCGGCCTGCGCAGCGGGCCAGGGAGGCTCAGCCATTTGGCTGTGGTGCCGGAGACGGACCCCTTTAGATACCCGGGCGACCGAGGAGGAGCGCGGCTGCAGCTTTGGTGGCTGCGCGCGGGGGGGCGGGAGGGAAGGCAGGGCAGGTGCGTGGACCTGAAGGTTCGTGGCCGGGGGCGGGGCCGCAGGTGCGTGGACGAGGGAGGGGCGGGGTCCTCACGGGGGCATCCTCTGGGTGCTTGGCGGGCGGACAAGGCCTGGGGCGCGCGGGCGCAAGGCAGGCCCAGGGAAGGAGCGCGTTCTGGGGGCGCACGAAGGACAGATCACACCCCGGGCTGCTTACTCGGCGCATCCCTTCGGACTAGATCTACTCGCATCCCGCAATTAAATAAGCAAGTCTAAGCGCAGGATGTTCCCACCTTCCGAGGAGCGAGGGCGGGATCTCGACCCAGAGGCTTGGCATTCTGATGTCCTGCCAGGACAGCCTTAAAAGAGGCGATTCCCCGAGAGCCACTGGAGATCTTGTGTAAGGCAATAAATGAATGAAAAGGCCTCGAATGTAGAATTGTATAGAATATTAAAAAGTGCGAAAGGAAAGTGCTAGTAACTGCCGATTCTCAGAGCCGAACGGGTTTTATAGGTTTTGTTGAAAGCGTTGCACTATTTCTTTCTAATAGTCCACCAGAGTCGTTTGGTTAGATCTGAGTTGCCAAGGAGTCGCTAACTGGAGCACTTATCCAGGTCTTTCGGTTGCTGTGCGTTTTGTTTTTGTTCGAATAAGTTACATTTTTAATAGACCTTAAAAGCCCGGGTTACCAGCTTCTTATGAGCCACCTTGGGACCTCACGTACTGCGAGAATATCTGTGACTGTGGACAAATCACGGGGAAGACTGTCAACAGGGACACATGTTTAACTTCATCCACACAACTATCGTAGTATCCGTTTCTCTTGTTTCTCTTCCTCTACACTCTTCCGCAAACATCCCAAGGTAGTTTTATCTTTTTGGATACATTGGAACTGAGCATATTATTCAGTAAGTTCTTTTAGATCAAATAATAAATGAACTTGGAAGCCGATAAGTGTTTATTCTGAGTAACTGGAAGTACAAAATAAAAACATGCCATCTGGGTGAATATGGCATAATTTCTTTAAGTTGTCCATTTAACATTTCTTATCCTTAGATTTTATTAATTTTTACGACGGCTGTGTAACTGGAATTTTCCAATTGTATTTGTTCCTTTTTAAAACACAGGGGACTTCAAATTACCTCTTTGCCATTGAATTAGTTGTATTTCTGGATATGATAGTTACTGTTTTCAAAACAATAGCTTTACATCACAAGTATATTAATAGGGGATGGGGTGCAGAATCTATACAGCAGGAGTCTTGAATTTCATGTTCTTTGGGATGGTAAATGCTCATTTGCCACTTAAAACCTGAACCATAGTTGAGGTCCCTGCTAACAGCGGTGTTGTGGGAGAGTCCTTTCCACAGGAATAACTCCTTTAAAGGGACCCCCATCCTACCTCTGCTAAGTAGATGCAAACAACTCACTTGACAGGGTGGGATCTCATACACACCCTTAATGAGAATATACAGAAACAAAATTACACCTTACCTTCACAGTTTTTGAATAACAGCTTTGTATTTAGTGTCACAAAACTAAAAGATGGCTTTCTCTGGATGTCAGTCAGTATAGAAGCTCAAAGACCACTTGCTAGTTAGTACCTGTTTAAGGAAGAAAGTTCCTCCTGCTTGTAGTTATCTACAAAGTTTTAATAGAACTTTGGTGGTTTTGTTAGGAAACAGGAAGACAGCTCAGACATTTGCCCTGTAAGACTTGGGTATATATGTATATATACATATATATGTATATATACATGTGAATGTGTGCAATTATTATTTACAGGGTTATTATAGTTTTATTGTGTATTATATAGTAGTACTACTCTGCATCAATCTGCATTTCTGGAAGGCAGTGAGAGAAGCCTTCCTGAGGCTTCTTGGAGAAACTTTTATTTGGATAGGGAACAGGTGCAGTCCCTCCTTACAGAGGGAACCTACAGCAGGCATTAGGTGACGAGGGATAGGCATTCTGCAACAGGGTTTGTGTCCGGCTGAGAATTAATGATATGCAAATCAAGTTTTGAGCCCTCATAGAAAGGGGTGGCCTTCAAATAAGAAGGGCACTTTCCTCCAAGGAAGCCATCAAGAAGCAACCCAAACTAATGAGCAGCCGCTTTTGTTTTGTTTTGTTTCTGAGACAGGTCCACTGTGAAGCCCTGGCTGTCCTGGAACTCACTCTGAGTCTAGGCTGGCCTCAAACTCAGATATCCGCCTGCCTCTGCCTCCCCAGGTCTGAGATTAAAGGCCTGTGCCACCACTGCAGGGCTAGAAGTTTTATTTTTACTTATGTGCATCTGTGTGCACATGAGTGCAGTTGCCCAAGGAGCCTGGAAGAGAACATTGGATCCCTGGGAACTGGAGCTAAGATGCCTGTGAACTGATACATAGGTGCAGGGACATGTGCTTGTGTCCTCTGCAAGAGCAACAAGTGCTCTTAACTGCTGAGCCACCTCTCCAGTTCTGACATGTTGAAAAATCCTGTTTTAGAAATACCCACACCATTGCTGCTGATGTTTTAGCTCATTAGCCCTTGTCCGGTCCCTGAAGGAGACCCTTTGGTTTTAAGCTAATGTATGCACAGCTCAACTTTTTGTTCTTTAGTCTGAAGCATCTAGATTGGAACCTGGCCATGGCGCTCTTCCGCTTACCCCATGGCTCTGCTGCTTGGACCCCAGAGACAGTGACATGGAAAGGCCCCAGCTTGCTCATATGCTCTTCTGTCCTTACACATAAATAGCTTTTAGAAATGTAGATTATTCTTTTGAAACCCATGGTAGCACTGTGAGATGTCTGCATTTTGATTTGAATAGCAAAGAAATGTTGGGGTCCAAGATCTAAAAAGTTACTCATAATTTTTTATTACTTAATGAAGCATTGTTTATGTTTATTTTTGTGTGTTGGTGGGGTCCTGGGCTACTTCACATGCCTGGAGATCAGAGGAAAACTTTTCAGGAGTCGGCTCTCCTACCATGTGGGACCCAGAGATTGAAGTCAGGTCATCAGGCATGGCACCTTTACCCAAAGACCCATCTGGCTAACCTGGATGACTTATACCTTGTTAATAAGTTGGTCATGGAGAAAAAGCAGTGTTAACCAAAAGTAGTTATTACAGGTCACTTTTTTAAAAAGTAACAAACTTGCTGTGGTGACTCATGGCTGTCTGCAATAGCAGCCGAACTCTGGAAGCAAATCACGATGGGTTTGAAGCAACCTGGGCTATTGGATAGCACCTTGTTCCAATAAGTCAGGCATGGAAGCCTATGCTTGTGGTTCCAGCATGGAAGTTGGAGGATCAGGAATTCAAGGTCATCTTCTGATGCACATCGAGTTTGAGGCCAGCCTGGATTACCTGACCCTACATTAAAAATTAAGCAGTACTTGAGAGATGGCTCCCCAATTTGGAGCACTGACTGCTCTTCCAGGGGACTTGGGTTCAGTTTCCAGCACCCACGTGGCAGCTCACAACTGTCTAAAAGGGGATCTGATGCCTTCTGGCCACCAAGGGCACCAGGCAAACACATGGTGCATAAACATACATCCATGCAAAACACCCATACACACAAAAAACGTTTTAAGTGCTGAGCAGTAGTGACACACACCTTTAATCCCAGAACTCAGGAGGCAGAGGCAGGCAGATCTGTGTAAACTGGAAGCCAGTCTGGTCCACAGAGCAAGATCCAGGTCAGGCTCCAAAGCTACAGAGCAACTCTATCTCAAAAAACCATTTTTAAAGTTTTAAATAAAATAAAATATGGCTATTTAAAAAAAAAACCTAAGACTGGAGAGGTGGCTCAACATTTAGAGCAGCTGTTGTTCTCGAAGAAAACCTAGGTTAGATTCCCAGCACCTCCATGGTGGCTCACACTCATCTGAAACTCCAGTTCCAGGGTTTCTGATGCCCTTCTCTCATCTCTGTGGGTACCAGGCACACATGGTATACATGCACACAAAACACCTCCATGTATAAATCGCAAAAGAAAAAAGTAAAAGGGTGTGGTGATTCACACCTATAATTCCAGTACTTGGGAGGTATGAGCAGGAGTATCAGAAGTTCAGAGTCATCTTTGGCTACCTAGTGAATCTGAGGCTAGCCTGGGATACATGGAACATTCAAGAAGACAATAGCAAAAAAATAATGGAGGGGCTGGCCAAATGGTTAAGAGCACTTGTTGCTCTTACAAAGTACTGGGTTTGGTTCCCAGCACCCACATGGTAATTCACAGCTACCTGCAATTCCTAGGCACTAACACAATGCACATTCATACATGTAAAATATGAAGGAAAAAAGCCGTGGAATGTGAAGTCAGTGAACAGAACTGTGGCAATTCAGGTAAATAAAAAAAACAATTAATATTGAATGTATATAGAGTTTTAATCAATATAGGGTTAAAGCTCACATCTAAAGCAAAGAAAGTTTTAAATATACTATGAGCTGAGTTTGGTGATACACACCTTTAATTCCAGCACTTCAGCTGAGGTAAGCAGATTTCTGAGTTCAAGGCTAGCCTGATCTACATAGTGAGTTCCAGACCTTGGCTCAGTAATAAAAGGAAATATACTAACACAGAAGGGATCCAGATCAAACTTTATAAGAGCTCTCAGAATATTTTTATTTTCAAGTGCTCTTATCATCCATAGCTAGTCTGCCCCCTCAAAGTCTCTGCTTTCTAATGGCAGTTATCATTTGAACTTACAAATATTCGAATGTATGCTGCTCTCCTGGAGTCAAAAGTCAGATAAATGCACTGGGATAAATTATTAAGTTTGTACTATATTTTCACTTGAAATATTGA